TAAGTAAGTGCATTTGCCTGACTACAATGATTAAAATATATATATTATACGCTTCGTGACTTTGACATCTAAACAAAATTAATAGCATTCTTATTACGAAATAATTTCTTGGCACATAACAGTTGTCAATTTTCATTTCACATGCATAAAACATTTTGTGTTTCGCTGGATAGTTATTTTTATAATGGTTTTTAATTCAATCAAATGAATTATAATTTGCATTATACAAAACTCGATAATTTCTGAGATATTTTAATTTATTTATTAAAATTTTCGATTTTTAATATTGTAATAATATGTACATATTAATATCAGTGACACTGGTTAGATATTTTTCCTCATCCTGATCAGAAATAGTGGTAAAATAAATAAGAAATAATTGAGTTGTTGATATTTAATTTTATAAGTTTTGAAAGTAGTATCTATGTTTAAGATATCACCATTTTTTTTCACATGAATATACAATGCAACACAATTTTATGACGTAGCTAGGATATTTCGGTTATTAATAGAAATAGATAGTAGCTGCTTTCGCGATGTCATTTCTTTATGAAAAAAATCTACAGGTTAAAACAGATTTGAATATGTGTTTTAGTTTTGAAGCTGTAGTCAAAAAATCTAAAGTTTGATATTTTGGGTGACTGTGGCATCGTAGTTGCATTTTTTCTGAAATATTGATAACACAGGCAAACAAAAAAAATCATAAACCAGAGGGTAGACCCCACTATTCTTAGATTTTTGGGGTCTCTGAAACCGAATATGACCATAAAGAATTATTTCAATTGCCCGTTTTCTCGCTAGTACCGCCTGAAGGGGGTTAAATTTTAAATTTTCGTACAAAATTAATATGTATGCGTATTTCTATTTTTTTTTTTGGAATGCTGAAACCGAAAATGACTACAAAAAATGAATTTAACCCCTCTCTCTTATCCGCTAGCGCCCCCTTACCATCCCCTGAAGGGGGCTGAATTTTAAACTTTTGTACAAAATTAAGATGTATGTTTATTTTTTTTGAGACGCTAGAACCGAATTATGATTTTTGTCCCAATCATAACCGTGTTTATTTTGCCTTCTGGTATTTTGAACTTGACAAGATATTTAAAAATTTTTTTTTCATTTTGTTTTCTCTTTGATTTTAATGTTTTTGCTCTTCACCGACCAGTCTTATTTACGTTTAAAAGATGAATCTAATTTTATGCCTCTGGAATAGTATTGATTCCGTATCTACATTTGCGACTAAGACACCTCCACGCGGTGAAGGCGGATAACAGTTTAACTGGCTTAAGGTGCGTCCAAACTTGAACATTTTAGCCCGAACGAACAGAATGAACTCACCGCGCAGAGCAGAATTTGTAAACTCTGGACCTGTCTCCGAGCCGAACCGAACGCGCCAAACGTTTTCCAGAGCTTGTCGGTAAATCGGAATTGCTCAAAGGGATTTATGGTTCGCCGAATTGTTCAGTCGACGGGAATAAGTTAAGTTCGTGCTATTCGCAGCGTTCATGTCGTTTGCGCCGTGTTGAAGGTACATTCATATTTTTTGTCTTTAAATCTCTCAATAAGAGCAAATGTCGTTTACATCTTAAACACCACACACTTTGATCATCTGCAACATTTATAAATATTTTTATATTCGCGCGAACGCAATGATTTTTTGTTCGGACTATTTGTTGTGCTTGTTTCTGCGGCTCAGTTCGTTCGCTTCGTTCGGGCTAAAATGTTCAAATTTGGACCCACCTTTTTTTAGAAGATCGTTTGAAAGCAAGAGAGTTCGGTATCATGGAAAGAGGTAAATGCCGAATCGTGAGAGGCAAGGGGACTCACTTTAATCAAGCACCCCGAACAGTGAGAGGCAAGGGGACTCACGTTAATCAAGCACCCCGAATCGTGAGAGACAAGGGGACTCACATTAATCAAGCACCCCGAACCGTGAGAGACAAGGGGGCTCACGTTAATCAAGCACCCCGAACCGTGAGAGGCAAGGGGGCTCACGTTAATCAAGCACCTCGAATTGTGAGAGGCAAGGGGACTCACGTTAATCAAGCACCTCGAATTATGAGAAACAAGGGGACTCGCTTTAATCAAGCACCCCGAACCGTGAGAGGCAAGGGGACTCACGTTAATCAAGCACCTCGAATTGTGAGAGGCAAGGGGACTCACGTTAATCAAGCACCTCGAATCGTGAGAGACAAGGGGACTCGCTTTAATCAAGCACCCCGAACCGTGAGAGGCAAGGGGGGACTCACGTTAATCAAGCACCTCGAATTGTGAGAGGCAAGGGAACCCACGTGAATCAAGCACCCCAAAGGGAACGGAAACCTACCACCTCCACGCCGTTGTTCCTGGCTTGCGCTTAGAGTAGAACCAAACCATAAATACATCTAAGAGCTGATATTTCTGATCGGTGAAGTATTGGCGTTTACAACATAGGAGCTGGAGGTATTCTTAAACTTGTCTAATTAACAGGTAATTGACTTTGGATAGTTGGAATTTTGAGCGTTGAGCCCATGAAAATTTTGGTTCTATTCTTTTTTTCCGAAAACATTAGCGCAATTTATCCAGAGCCAACTCTCATATGGATCCTGCTGGTTCTTTTAAACGATTGTAAGGGGGGTAATCGAGTAAATGGATATAATTTTTTGTAGTCATTTTCAATTTCAGCGTCCAAAAAACAGAATTTATAATTTAACCCCCTTCAGGGCGTGGTAAGGGGGGTGCTAGCGGGAAAACGGGCAATTGAAATCAATTTTTATAGTGATATTCGGTTTCAGCGACCCCAAAAACCTAAGAATAGTGGGGTCTACCCTCTGGTTTTCTTTTTGTGTGCCTGTGTCATTTATAAATAGCCTTGCTGTTGAAAATATATTTAGTTTGTCATACTTACATCAGAAAAGAAAAAGTCTCTATTAACCCCAACGACCATATTAATTTGTTTTTTCTTAGTCAGTACAAATTTAGAAAAAAAAACTTAGGCCGAGTAATAGAACCAACACATTTGTTATTTGCTTTTCGTACAGAAATACGAGGTCTGTTCTGAAAATAAAGGAACTCTTTGAATTACGCGCTAATGGGAGAATTTAGTGATATGCGGTTGGCAACACGGTGTTGCGCATAACCTCCTCTATAACCACATCTTCTTGGATTACTGATATCTCATTTAGTTTTTGTGATATTGTTATTTGAGTGTAAAGTGTTTAAGAGTTAGTGACGTTTTTTGAAATGTGCGATTTTCTGGAACGATGCAATGTAAATTTTGTGTGGAACTGGGAAAAACAATTTAAAAGTGGTCATCAGTAAATTGAAGATGATTGTCGACCAGGAGGGCCTTCGACTTGAGCAGATGATTCCCACGTTCAGAAAGTCAAAGATCTGGTGCGTGCAAAATCGCCGACTGACAGTCAGAGACATTGCAAAAGAAATTAGCATCTTATTAGGGCGAGCCATGAAATTTTGACTGAAAAATAGAACATGCATCGAGTTACAACAAAATTTTTTCCTCGTGTGATGAGCGAACTGCTGGGCGAAAGCACGTCAGTCTCGATCCAATGTCAAAGTGACGCTCACTGTCTTTTTCGACTTTAATAATGGAATTGTGCATTTTATATTCTTGCCTCAAAGTGAAACACTGCACCATGTGTACTATCAAGGCCTTTTACAACTATTACGTGAAAAAATCTTCAAAAAGAGACCAGAGTTGTGGCCAGAAAATTCATGGTTCTTTCACCGTGACCATGCGGCCGCTGACTCAGCTTTGTTAGTTCGTCAGTTTTATTGTCAAAAATTACTGTCCTCCATCACTCTCCTCACTCGCCAGGGCTGGCTCTTTGCGATTTTTTCTTATTTCCGAAATTAAAATCAGTTTAGACTATTGATGACATCAAAGCAAATTCGAAACAGACATTAAAGTCCATTTCAAATGAAGCTATCCAGGACTGCTTCACGAAAAGGAAACATCGCTGGGAAAAGTCTATGAATAGGGTAGGGGAGTACTTTGAAGGAGACAAGGACCAATTAATTAATAATAAAGTTTAAAAAAGTAAAGTTCGGTTATTTTCTGAACAGACCTCGTATGATGGTTGTACTTACAAATACTCTAGTTCGGGGGTCGTTATAAGTCAGATAGTTTTGTCAAGTTCCAAAGGATCTACCTGGATTTTTAATTTAATCATATTTTATGAAAGTCAGTATACCTTAGATACTAAGTACCATGCCATATTACATATTTATTTGACAAACAGCGCACCCTATTTTTTTTGTCAACTATACAACGATTGCACCAGACTTTGTTAGTCGTGCAATTGTTTTTTGTCATGGCCAACTTTATCTTATTTTTTAATTTCGAAATGGGTACACCTAAGTTTCTTAATTTTTGACATAAGTATACAACAAAATATATTTTTGGAAATCGCAGAACTATGTAACGGCCAACTATTCTTTGCATAAAAGAAAATATAATATGATCTGTCGAAGTCGAAAATCGTTATTTATCAAAAACGAAAATACGTCGTTGTATTTTACATAAAAAAATATTTATAAAATAAAGTTTCAATATTTCAGAAAAATGTTCATGTTGTGACTACAGGGATCACTCAAAACATTAAAATTTAAATTTTTTTTATATTACTACAAAACTAAAAAACATGAAAATATGGTTTAAATTGAAAAGTTTCTCAAGAAAATAGTCAACGTTAGCGAATTTGCAATAAATGAATTACCCTAGCATGGCATTGAAGTTGGATCGAACAACTTTTATAAAATTATTTGCGCTATTGGGTTTATGGGTTTACTATTGTGAAATAAAATATTCACTAGGAATATTTATTGTTATTATTTTATATCTTACGACCTTGAGAGTTGTATTTTGCAGAAAAACACAAGCATTTCAATTAAAAATCAGCACCACTATCACGCCTTAAAATAATACAAGACTTGTCAGTTACTCTGTACCTATATAATTTATAAGTTAATATTTATTTATTGCCTTAAAAATAATTACCTACCTTAATTCCTAAAGGTTCTTGATAAGCTGGCCAACTACATGAATAAACTATTGGGCGACCAGTCGAATTTAAATAATGCCCCATTTTCGCATATCCTAGACATAAAATGTTGATATTAAACTAGGATTTGAAATACTGTAGTGCATTTATATATTGTAAATTATATAAATAATGTGCAGCATTGTTATATGGACTGTTGAATTGCATGAACTATTAAATTTTTACTAGGACAAATCAAATTTCTTTAATTTATTGCAGTGAAAGAAAAATATCCGTCTATAAGTATTATTTTTTTTGCATAATTTATATAAAAAATGTTTGTAAGTCGTCCAGGCCAATTGCTACAATTTTTGTTATGAAGCTGTATTACATTATTTAGTCTCGACTCTCGCCTGAGACTGGCAAATGCAACTAATCACGGATGACCGCTTTTGTCGCAGTCATCTGTAAACTATTTGCCAATGTAAACAAATGCAGTATGATTTGGACTACTGAATCGTTGAGAATGAGAATGTTGCTTTGCCAGGATGCACATACTTTACGAACATAAACAAATGCCTTATTGTGTGGATGACGTATATCGGCATATTATAAAGCATGTCTTCACTTGCCAAATGTTCGTGGAAGCTATACAAACAACACACCGGTTGGACTATTCAACAAGTGAATGCTAATGATTGTTAGTTTATGGGATGGTAAATACATCGGTCCGGATGTACAAACGCTATGATCGACACTTTAGTGGTAAGGTTTTTCCATAATATTCGAAAAATGTGTTCCCATTAAGAAAAAACACAAACTGAAAATTTAGAATGGCTATATCATCAGCGAAATGGTTACCTTTAAGTTTAGGCTTCAGGGTATTTAATTTCAGATATAGAAATCTACTTTAAAATTATACAAATAATAACATTTTGTGACTCGCTAGATCGCAGGGGTTTGGATAATCGAATCGGCGGAATCTCTGTTGCATACATTTCAACAAATTGGGTATTTTTATCGACACTTAGTGTCTAGCTGTGTGTGTACATTTTAGAATTAAACATCTAGATACTTAGGGGTCGTTAGATCTCAGGGATGTCTCTCTGTTGGAATGAACACATAGAAGCATTAAATGTATAGCCTCAATGAACACAAAATAGTGTATAAGGCTTGATGTGCTCTCAAGGGGACATTTTAATGAACGTAACTAGTTGACGCTATGATACGAAAGTTGCCGTTGAATATCTAGGTTTGATCTAAATGTTGCTGTTTCTTTTCATTTAAGCCAGTCAAATCAGTAGTTAAGTCAAAAAAAGGTTAGAGAGCCAAAATGAAGTAAGTAAAAATTATCTTCCAAACAAAAATTAGATCTTCATAAAAACCAAAAACTAAGATTTTTCGAATTGAATTGGGAATATATTTTTTATTATTTTCACGACGTCATTTCGTATCTGAGTTAAAACATTTAGTTTTCTCTAGAAGAAACTTTACTAGCCATTGAAGGCAACTTAGCTAATTTGAGGCGACAAGTATCTACAATGTGTATGATTTTTTAGATAATGGCACCTATTTAAGGAAGTATAGGTACATATTAATCAAAATAAGTAGAATACGTACATATAAAATACGTACTGTTAGGGGATTATTTCGACTGGGGCCGTTATTTATAAAACAACGACAAAAAGTGAAGGCCAAGGCGCGGAAATTCGGACAACTGTGAAAGAGTGTAGATGTGATGGTACGTTAACCCATTACTCTGTTTAAATATTGTTAAATAAAAGACTTAATAGTTATTAGTGTCGTTTGCTGATCAATAACTGAGAAAGGTCCAACGTTTCAGAAGTTGGAATGCAGTAAATAAATAAACAAACAGATAAAACAAAAACTAAATACACACATATCAATTTTAATATCAAAGTGCGCGCGTGTGAGCAATGTTTCACGTATTGACAGGCTAGAACTACTTTCTAAAAATCGGTCTGAGGCTTTGAGTAAACTTAAACAAACTGCTCGTGCTATGAAAGTGCGGTATGATAATAAAAATCGCCTACGAGCAAGAAGGTTCCAAAAAAAAAACATGGTTGTGGTAGAACGAACACCTTTTGTCAAGGGACTTATTGTTAGTAGTGGAAAGTTGGTTCAGAAGTATATTAGACCAGTTCAGGTTAAGGAGGTGCTAGCGAATGACATATACCTTGTCCAGTCCCTATCCAAGGACCGTACGGGTCGTTGCAAACGACAGAATGAAACAATTCAAACAAAAATTAAAGTAAAAGGTGAGTCGCACTGTTGGAAAGAAATATATTACCACATTTCTTTGTATTTTCTATGTATTATTTGTTAATATTGTTGTCAGACATTTTAGATGCCTTGTTATGTTGCTTTGCCTTTGTGCAGAACAATGTCATCTTAATATTAAATTCTGCAGTTCATTTTTGAATGATTAGAAAAATAAATATTGAATTAATTGTGTGAAATGTATTTGCCAATGTTGACAACCACGCATGCCAGTTACCTTCTGTTATTTATGTCTTTGTGCGGAACAGCCTTTATGATTGTTATTTATGCCTTTGTGCGGAACAGTCTTCATGATTGTTATTTGTGCCTTTGTGCGGAACAGTCTTTATGATTGTTATTTGTGCCTTTGTGCAGAACAACCTTCATGGTTGTTATTTGAAGGTTACGTTAGTATAAAAAGTCTGGCCTCTGAGCTGTGCAACTGAGGAAAATTAATCTTGAGGATTTTGCTAGTTTTGTGAATGTTGCGTTGCATTTGCATTATTTACGTTAGACAAATTATGACATAAAAGAATAAACAAATTAAGTTAGGTAATGCATGTTAGAAGGTGTACTGTTCTGTGTGTATGTGTTGTGTGTACATACGACTATTGTATCGCAATGTAATCTTTATTATTGCAGGGACAGGGCTGTTAATGTTAGCTCACGTTGCTGTATTGTTTCTAAACAGCTCTGCATTCACCATTTTGGTCAATTTTATTTGGTTAATTGGTATCAACAATTGGCAAGTGTGATCATTTAAAAAAAAAACAAATTTGTATCAACTATATGCATCTATTAAAACATCCTAGCTACCCTCTCACTCAGCAATAAGCGATACTGTAAGTACGTTATGCGACATACTGATTAAACATCATCGACATCGAAATAGGAAAATTTAGACAAAATATGTTAAAAGGACAAGAATTGTGTGCATATAATTGATTGACAGTGGAATTAAAATACAAAGATCCAGAACTAGGTAGAAAATTTAAAAAAAAATCATAGTCTGATTTTGAAATTTGATTAGAAAAAATATTCCCCATTAATTTGAAATTATATAAATGACATCGTACTCTAACGAAAAAATCCCTGTACTTATATTGATAGATCGCAACACCCATGAACATAAGTTATCGACTTCGAGCTACATCAGCAGTATCTCGTGATACAGATTGAGATATTAAATGTATAAACTCAATATGTATCCCATTTTGTATACAACTGTATGCGAACCTTTTTCAGTTACTATAGAAACGTAATTCTATAAAGCATATAATTTTGTACTTCCTATCTGCGCAGAATGTTTGAAATGAAAAAAAAAAAAAAACGAAAAGCAAATTTTTTGAATGTATATATAAATATTTAATAATACCTGTTTTTTGAGAGAGTAAGTATAAAATGTATCAGACATTATTTGTTGCTCTTCATGTACAGTATATACCTACTTGTGTAATAAACATGTATACGTGTGCAAGCAAACTTAAATGGCTTTTCCTACCGTGTATAAGCGGCTATCTTCTCAAACATAATAGAACAGTACTGATATACATCTGAATTTTTAATAAAATTTACTCATACCATTGTAACAGTATTCAAAATTGAACCAATAAAAATCTTGTAGCATATTGCTTAGTAAATAAAAATATACATTTTCTGCTGCATTTATTTCAAATAAATTTAAACCTATATTTCTAAGTTTGTTATTTACCTTCCTCCATTGTAGATTGGTCGGCATAGCATCCATCTAGTTTTAAATAGTCAACTCCCCATTCTGCAAAAGTTTGTGCGTCTAGTTCTAAATGGTCTATACTACCAGGATAACCTGCACAGGTTTTTGTACCATAGTCGCCATAAATTCCAAACTTTAGTCCTTTGTCATGAATCTGAAAGTTGCACGTATCGGAAACTATAGTACTACCCATTATTTTTGCTTTTACTATAGCGTAAAACTCAAAAAATACATAAGATTTTGCCTACTCCCTATTATCGAGGGTGCTGAATACGAATATAAAGTTATTTTTGTCCGGCCGAACCCAGTTTTGGAGAAATTATTTTTTTTTCAAAATTCTAACCTTAACTCAACAGTCATCATCACTATTTGTAACTCTGTGCCATCTATATGTCTTTTAATAGATATGCAATTAGAGTTCTAATAATTTCTGGGAAATATATTTTCCGTTTTTTTAGAAAAATATTAATAACTAATTTGAAATGGTAAAGCAAATAAAAACTAGACGTTTCGTTTTTCCTGAGCCCATCTCCTAAAACCGGTATTTAATATATGTGTTATCTCAAGATACATATTTCTACAACTACAGGGTGATTCACTTATGAAGTTATTAATTTTAACCACGTATTCGGAAGGCTTAATAGTCAGAAAATCGAAAAAAAAAATTTACTCGATCTTTTAAAAAATAAGCAAATTATCCCTTAACTCCCGTTAATTCGGCACCCTACTTTACATCATATTTGATCACAGGGAACGCGCCGGCGTACTACAGAGCGTTAGAATGTTGAAGCGAAACAGCTGATTTCCCCAGTTGTCTTAAATTTTGCCATTGGTCTCAAAATCAAAGTGCAGTGGATCATCATTTTATTAACTACTCTTTGAAAAGCAATGTCACGCAATACGATATGCGTACTACAAACTGAATAATTAATTGAACATAATACTAAAAACTCAGGTAATTATAAAACATAGAGAAAATGTACAATATTAGGACACAGTCTAAATTGCAATAACCCAACATCCGAAAACAATTATTATACTTATACATTTGTGTTTATTAACAAATAAATAATACTTGTTAATATTTAAAATATAAAAAAAATCTTATTCACACATGAATATGTGTCTATGTAAAATGGTCTGTTTTTGTCGTTCACTATTAAAAACACTAAAAACTAGGTCAGTAACCGAATACGGTAAGCCAAGATTCACTCTCGATAAACCTTTGCAGGTCAGAGGCCAGAAGCGGTTCGAAAAGGTGTTTAAATAATGATTTGAAAAAAAAAATTTTTCAGCATAAATATGCAAAATAATTTTTTTTTAATCCAATATTCGTATTCTACTCATTTTTGTATATCTTCCCTTGAAATTACTGACATTATGACTGAATCACCCTGTATATAAAGTTGGGTAAACTAAATGTAAGTCTTTCATTTATTTAATATATAAAGATATACCTAACCTAACCTAACTTTATATGCAAGTTTATACTGGGTATTCGGAAATAGTGGTCATTCACTTTGAGGGTAGATTTGTCGACGTAAAATAAGATAAAAATTTTATATAAACTTGGACCCGCAAATCCACCCTACGGGAGGTTGACACGTTTGAAGATGACTTAAATAAATAAATGGGTCTGCCAATAACTTTTAACTGCTTTCAAGGAGAGAGATAAGTTTTGGAGGATAGGTTACTATTAAGAAACATGATTATAGTTAATTTCTGGATATTTTTGTACTACCAAATAATTCTTTGCACTTTAGTAGTCACTTATCACCCAAAATTTATCCCTCTTCTTCAAAGCAGTTAAATAGGCCATGAAATATAGAGTTAGACACGACTTTTTGTTTCGGTAAGCTGAATTTATCATTATACGAGTAGATGCTAAATATTATGTACAATGACATATTAGTTTCCACAAAAATGGGAGGAAGATTGTTTACAGGATGGTTAATTGTATAATTTTTACATAAATTCACGTTTTTCGCTTATAACTTTTCCATTCATTTCCCCGAGAAAACAGTAAAGTACTTTTTTTTTCGTCTTCAAAAGACCTACGAAACTAGCCGAAACGAGCGTAAAAAAATATTGATTAGATCAAAAGTTATAAACAGAAGAAGTTTATTTATGACTTTTGAATTAAACATTTATAAAGTGCGTTTTTATTACCAGAACGTTTTGGCATCGCATCCTCTCATTCCTTATCACTGTCTAATAACTCACACGAAGGTAAGTTGAATCGTTTACAAGTTATGGTCTTATAAACAAATTAACTAATTATTAGTCTGGACGATCCCTAGCATCTTCCACAGTAGCACTGATTTATTTCATGGTAGATTTCATAATAATACAAAGCTATAATTTTTTTTTTAATTTCAAATTTACAACCTGGAAAGTTTTTTATTTTTTAGCCTTAGTTGCAAAATGAAATATACGACGCATGCGCGAGATATAGTTATATATTATTACATATCCGGAAAGCTTATGAAAAGAGCTTTAAGTTAAAAGAAAATGCCAAGATTCGTTGAAAAATAATGGAGTTACAGACTGTCAAATATATTATTTTCAAGCGAATTTCGTTATTTTAACGGCAGGACTATGAATATTATCGTCATTTTCTTCGGGCTCGCTGTCGTTCGCTTCCCCCACCCTTTAAGTTAAAAAAAATCGTCAAGATTCGTTGAAAAACAACGACGAGTTACAGACTGTCAAAGTTGACGGCCTATTAAACAAATTAGGTTGGTAGCGGCAAAAACATAAACGGCAACCCGAGTGCTTTCCCAGATAAAAATATTTTATTTGTGGAAGTATGTTAAGTGCATGAGAAATAATGATCAATTTGGGTTGTTGAGATTCCCACGCAACAATTCGGGATCACTTTCATGTTGCCAAATTGATGAAGTTTTGAAATTTTTCTGTTACGATTTGTCTATTTTTCTTGAAGAAGTAAAATTAGCGGTCCGATTACGAATGTGAGTTTTATAAAGGGTGTCTCACGGTGACGGCCCATTAGAATTATTTCAGAAACTACTTCGATTTGAATTTTGAAAATTTGGGATACCGGGTTTTTGGGCATGCCCTTCTCAAACAAAATAATGGCGTCCACGTACCACTTCCGGTTATACCGGAAGTCGCCATCAACTTGCTTATTTTAAATGGAACACCCTATATATTATTGCAATTTTGGATTCTACGTATTATTTTAGGTGGACTTTTATGAACTTTCCATATTCCTAAAATTAACCGTTTTCGAGATATTTAATTTTTTTCAAAAAAATGGAGAGAAACAGTGACTAGCTTCAAACCATGTGTATTTTATAGTAAGAAAGATAAAGCAACAATATTTATAGGGGGGGGGGGGATAGTTAGACCCCTAAACTTCCCAATTCCCATCCATACTTTCAAAGTGGCTTATTTGCATACAGGGTTCTAGAAATTTCATACCGAGGTTAGTTAACTTCAAACTTCATAAGTCATTTTTTTAACGGAACATCCTGTATGTTTTTCTATATTCTGATAAACAATTTTATTCTCTTTCGAACGGTATCAGGGTTCCCTATACCTATCTCTTCTAGTTTTTAAATTATCTACTATTTTTTGTGTAATCACCTAAAATCATGTAATTTCTTGCGAGGATAGCTATAGAGTTTTTAGCAAAACTTCAAACAAACAACTAAACAGTCAATTTGTTGTTAGTCTCTTGCAGTGACAGTTTAATTTAGTGTTTATAAGAAATGGAAAACAATAATATTCAAATGCTGATATTTTAAATTTATTATTCATTCACGGACGTGCAATGGGATTATAAGCGGAACATATACAGTTTTTAATGAGACATATCCAAATTTGCCACCAATGAGCAGAAAGAAGTTAAGAATTTTAGCAAATCAACTAGAGTATAGTGAAATTGTGCAGAAAGAATTTTACTAAAACCAATAACTTCAAATGAAGATAATGTAATAAATGTGCTAGCCTATTTTAATGTTCATCCAGAATCCTCAACTCGTGCCGCAGAGTATGATGTAGGCATTTCACGAGCGTCCATTCACAGGATGGCTAAGAACTAATGATATGCATCCATACAAATTTAAGCTACTTTTTGTTCTTCATCCGGGTGATGCCGTGCAACGTGTACAATTTTGTGTAACATTGTTAGTGCGATATCAAGAAGATCCACAATTTTTGCAACATATTATATGGACTGAAGAGTCAAAATTTACGGGAGAAGGTATTTTTAATATACATAAAACTCATTTGTGGTCATCTAAAAATCCTCATGTTATCCGGGAAAGAAACTTTCAAAATAAATTTAGCGTAAATGTTTTTTGTCTAATTAAAGATAACCAAATTTCTTATCATATCTACGAAGAAAATTTAAATGCCGACAGATATCTCAATATTTTGCAAATGGTTGTGGTAGATTTTCTAGATGATATACCTTTAGACCAACTAAGGAAGTGTTGGTATCAATTAGAGGGGGCTCCACCTCACTATCAGAATCAAATCGATCAACAGCTGACTGAAATGTTTGAAGATAGATGGATGAGACGATTAGGACCGTGGAATTGGCCAGTGAGGTCTCCCGACCTCACTCCATTAGATTTTTATGTTTGGGGAGTAATAAAGCAAAAAGTTTATTCTACAACCGTTGCTTCAAAAGAGGATTTGATTGCTCGAATACGAAGAGCGTTCCATAAATTGCCTGCAGCTGAAATAGCAATAGGAGTGAGTGATGGTGTCCACAAGTGCATAGCTGCTAATGGGGGTCATATTGAACACTTATGACTTTTCTAAGTAATTTTTTTTCTCTTAGTGCATTATTATTATCAACATATACAGGGTCGGAAAGTGAAGTGAATCTTATTTGTGGAAGGGCGAAATGGGCGGTGATTATTAAACGCCTTCATTATAGCCATCTTTCTCTATCGCACGGATTTCTATGACTTTCTTTATCGCTCTCATGTAACGGCCGATGAACCATGGGAACTTTCGGACCCTGTATAATTAAAATTGTGTATTACTATGTATGAAGTTATAATTTTTTAGAATTCTTCTTAACTTTATTCTTCTCATTGGTGGCAAATTGGGATATGTCTCATTAAAAACTGTAAATGTTCTGCTTAGCATCCCATTGCAACGTCTGTTGGATAAATAACATGATTTTAGGTGATTACACAAAAAATAGGAGATAACTAAAAAAACTGGAAGATATAGGCATAGGGAACCCTGATACCGTTCGAAAGAGAATAAAATTGTGTATCAGAATATGGAAAAACATACAGGTGTTCCATTTAAAAAAACGACTTTTCTTTCCATTTTTTTGAAAAAAATTAAATATCCGGAAACGGTTAATTTTAGGAATATGGAAACTTCATGAAAGTCCACTTAAAATAACACGTAGAATCCAAAATTGCAGTAATATACAGGATGTTCCATTTAAAATAAGCAAGTTGATGACGACTTCTGGTATAACCGGAAATGGTACGTGGACGCCATTATTTTAGTTGAGAAGGGCATGCCCGAAAACCCGGTATCCAAAATTTTCAAAATTCAAATCGAAGTAGTCCCTGAAATAATTCTAATGGGCCGTCACCGTGGAACACCCTGTATACCCCACCTATAAGGAATACCTTGGACTGGAAGTGATCGACCAATAGCCTTCGTGGTTCACAGACGTAAATCATCTAGACTTTTCTTTGTGAGGATAATGGATAGTCTGCATCTTCGAGAACAGCAGGAAGGTGGCATAATGCAGTAGTACGATGAAATTAGATTTGACAAGCCCCAGCGTGCTTGTAAGTAAGTGGGCAAAACATTGGACAAGTAGAAAATAATAAATGATATAAGTCTGCTAGAGGAATAGATATATTTTTCAAATTTTCAGTTATTGTAATTTTAATCATTTTGATCTCGTTTTTTGTTGGACTTCTTTACAATGTTTTTATAAAATCGACATTTTATTTAAATGTGCATATTTGGTTAAAATTTTTCGATGTATTTACTCATTTCATACTCGTATTATCAATACATCAGAATAAATAACTAAGTTGAGTCAAGTGAAATCAAATTTTGATATTCTGACAAAATAATCAACCACTTAAAGATCTATCATTGCAATAATTGTCACTTACATAATCTGCCAAAGCCTTTATGCCGTTAGGAAACCTCTCTGGATCCGGTTGCAGTCTACTGTCGTTGTCTCGTTGTTTTGATGCCCAACAATCGTCAATAATGATATATTCATACCCGGCTTCCAGATATCCGTCACATACTAAGTGGTCAGCCATTGTACGGAAAAGTTTCTCACTGTAATTTGAATGTAAAATGTTTATTATGTCCACCTGTTTTAAAAACAAACTTCTTTCTCTTGAAAAATTTTTCTAACGAACTATGTTTTTGAGTAAAATTTAAAAATATATATTGCGTATTTAAAAATATATAACGATTCTTACATGATAGAAAGAAATACGTGATGTACATCTTCAAATATAAATAAATGTTTCTGCACATTAAAGACGACTATTTAATATCTTCCACAAGTGTGGGAACTCACATAAAAACAACTACTAGTCATTACAAGTCAATTAATATAAACACTAAATAATCATTTTTAATGTTTAAGAATGTTTATTTTGTTGTTACATCATGGTACTTTCATTTCATCCGAAAATCGTGTCCGTTAATAAAATTTTTCGAGAACACTATTTTTTTTTTCAATTACCCTCATTCTTTTAAGCTATGGGAATAAAGCCTTATTGCGTTTTCCAAAAGATAGGTTCCACGGTCACTGTTTAGGGAAAAGATGAATAAAAAATGAACATTTTACTTCAAAGAATAGATATTGTAACAAGTAGAAATTGAAATACAATAAATAATGACATGTTAGATAGATGGTGACAAGATAGTAAAGATGATTTAGTTGACAGCGGGATTAAATTTGACAATGTAATATAATAGTAAAGGTAGAATGAAATCTCTGTATAGAGGAATTAAAAGTGTTTATAAAAGAAAGCAATGTAGTTAAAAAAGGAATTAAAAGGTATTAAATTTGGTAAAGTAAAATTGTATAAATTAATAAAGGTATATGAATAGTTGATATCGAATACGATATATCCAAAATTATTTTAAGTAGAGATAAGAGTGCGGTGAAAGGAAAAAGAAAAAGTGGTTATCTAGGAGACGAAAAATAAATAGTGAGAGGAGAATTAAGAAAGGAAGCGTCAAATTGGAAGATATTAAAATTGAAGCCATTAAAATAAGTTGAAAATCAAAAGAATTGAAACAAATTACTGAAGATTAAAAAAAGGAATCCCATAAAATAACAAGAAAAGAGCAAGTATTGAAAAGAGGAAGAGTGGCAGAGTAAAGCACAGCAAAGCATTCAGCACAGCGACAGTGTGGGACAGTTAAAAACAAATAAGAAAGAAGCAACCAGGAAGAGTCAAGAAATATGAAATAATTTATTTGGCATAAAGGAAAGTCGGTTTAAAGCGAAACTAACAGATAAACCAAGACAATTACAATACAGTCAGGTAATTAAAATATTATTTTCATTGTTGTAGACAAATAGAAAAGGAAAGGCCAGGAGAGGTGACGCAGACAGTAGCAATCTAAAGAGGAGAGTAGCAAATAGAAGGAAGAAATCATAAATTGGAGGAGAGTTCAAAGACGGAAAGGAAGGAAAGGATACAGGAAGGAGAAGACAGAAAGGACATCACGAGTAAAAAAACACAGACAAATAGACAACAAAGTGTAGGATAGGTAATCATAACAAAAAATTGTATAGAATAAGGAATTAGAATTTAGTTATCTTAGGGTAGATAGGGATCTAGGAAAGATTGTTATAAATTGTTAACTGTTGGGATAATACACAAAGTTCAAACTCAATTAACCATTCCTATTTTTTTTTAAACAAAGAAACAAATTTAAATACCTAATAATTTTTTTTAATAGTTTAATAGGTAATCATAACAAAAAATTGTATAGAATAAGGAATTAGAATTTAGTTATCTTAGGGTAGATAGGGATCTAGGAAAGATTGTTATAAATTGTTAACTGTTGGGATAATACACAAAGTTCAAACTCAATTAAGCATNCGTATACAGGATGCCTCTTTTAGAAATATTGTAATTGATTTTATCCTTAGAATTCTTAATTACAAACATAAAAGTAGTCAATCCATTTTCAAATTTTAATATATTTTTTAATTGACTCATAAAAGTTATGTCAGTAAGAAATTAAGTAATGGATTTATAGTATGTTGATGAATATAGTTGAAATGAGGGAAAACTTTCTTATTTTATAAGCCAGCGTATACAGGATGCCTCTTTTAGAAATATTGTAATTGATTTTATCCTTAGAATTCTTAATTACAAACATAAAAGTAGTCAATCCATTTTCAAATTTTAATATATTTTTTAATTGACTCATAAAAGTTATGTCAGTAAGAAATTAAGTAATGGATTTATAGTATGTTGATGAATATAGTTGAAATGAGGGAAAACTTTCTTATTTTATAAGCCAGCGTATACAGGATGCCTCTTTTAGAAATATTGTAATTGATTTTATCCTTAGAATTCTTAATTACAAACATAAAAGTAGTCAATCCATTTTCAAATTTTAATATATTTTTTAATTGACTCATAAAAGTTATGTCAGTAAGAAATTAAGTAATGGATTTATAGTATGTTGATGAATATAGTTGAAATGAGGGAAAACTTTCTTATTTTATAAGCCAGCGTATACAGGATGCCTCTTTTAGAAATATTGTAATTGATTTTATCCTTAGAATTCTTAATTACAAACATAAAAGTAGTCAATCCATTTTCAAATTTTAATATATTTTTTAATTGACTCATAAAAGTTATGTCAGTAAGAAATTAAGTAATGGATTTATAGTATGTTGATGAATATAGTTGAAATGAGGGAAAACTTTCTTATTTTATAAGCCAGCGTATACAGGATGCCTCTTTTAGAAATATTGTAATTGATTTTATCCTTAGAATTCTTAATTACAAACATAAAAGTAGTCAATCCATTTCCAAAGTTAATATAAACAATGTGTCAATGGAAAAAAAGAATTATTTGAAAATTTGATATTTTGTCTAACGATTTTGCTTTTTTAATAAATAATCTGCAACATAATTTTATTTCTGAAAAATTAAATAGGCCATGTAACAAAATTAAAGTATACTGATTTGTTTCGAACTTGCCACATGGACACATATTTTAACTGTGAATAACTTATCTCAATAAAATTTTTATATCTTATATGAAACGAGGATTTTACCTACACAGAAAATACTTTTTTGCTCTTGACGAGGTTTAGTTAATTTTTCAGAAATGTTAATATGCAACAAATACAAATAAATCCTAAATTTCAGCTTAAAATATTCTTTGTATCCTGTACATATTAAATGTTAGAAAAGGATTGGCTTTTTAGGTGAGCCTTAAGGAGAAAATTATGTACTATATTTCAAATATTTTTTTTTGTATAAAACACCCTCTATATATAGGGTGTTTCAATCATAATGTCATTAATTTTAACTACGTTTTCGGAAGGTCTAATAAAAACAGAAAATAAAAAAAAATTCTCGTTAACTCGGCGCCCACTTCGTAATAGAGAACGTGCCACGCAGGCCGGCGGAGTGCACAGTAACTGAACGTTGTAGCGAAACAGTTCATTTCTTAGTAGTCGTCTCGTCCAGTTTTGCAACTTTATTAAGACGAATGAGTGTTTTCTAGCCGTATTTGTCATTTTAATTAAGTAAGTACCATATAACTGAAAAGTAATAAGTTACACAATAAGGTATACGTACTACAAACTGAATAATTACCTACTTGAACCTAGTATGCAATATTAAAAACTCATTCAATTATAAAACAGTGAAAACGTTAGGAATAGGCATTAAAGTTAGGTTAGGTTAAGATTCACTCTTGTTGTAGGTCAGTGGTCAGGAGTGGACCGAAAAGGGGTTTAAAAATGATTCGAAATTTTTTTCACTATTTTTCCTTAAAATTAATGACATTATGACTGAAACACTCTGTATATTGATCCCNATGTAATATATCGCGGAAGTACATAAAGCGTTTAAATCTCACCCCATACAATTTTTGACATCCACTCATAATTTCTTTACAACATTGTAGATGTCGTGATAAGCAAATTTATGATAAAAATCGTTGTGACATCCAAAATCGGATGTCACAACGTTAGGGGATGTCAAAAAGCCGGGAAATTATTATAAAATGATGTCACAAAGTATGATGGATAAAAGTATATATATATATATAGGGTGTTTCAATCATATTGTCATTAATTTTAACTACGTTTTCGGAAGGTCTAATAAAAACAGAAAATTAAAAAAATAATTCTTGTTAAATCGGGGCCCCACTAATCGGACGTTGAACCGAAACAGCTGATTTCCTAGTCGTCGTCTCGTCCAGTTTTGCAACTTTATTAAGACTTTATGGACGAATGAGTGTTTTTTAGCCGTATTTGTAATTTTAAATAAGTAGGTACCATATAACTGTGAAAAGTGATAAGTTACACAATAAGGCAGACGTACTACAAACTGAAAAATTACCTACTTGAACCTAGTATGTAATATTAAAAACTCATTAAATTATAAAACAGTGAAAACGTTAAGAATAGGCATTAAAGTACGGCGGATTAAAGTACGGAATAGGCGTTAGTACGGTAGGTCAAGATTCACTCTTGTTGTAGGTCAGTGGTCAGGAGTGGACCGAAAAGGGGTTTAAAAATGATTCGAAATTTTTTTCACTATTTTTCCTTAAAATTAATGACATTATGACTGAAACACACTGTATATTGATCCCTTGAAATAATAATCTAAATTTAAACAAATTCAGAATTTTTTAACAAAAATAACTTTTTTTTCATAAAATGAGAAATTAAAAAACTCCCCTCTTTTTAATTCCATTCGTGAAGACAGTGTGTATATGTTTTTATTGAGACATCGCTTTCAAGCAGAAACATTTACTACTAGTATAATCTCCTCCTAAGGAGTATAAGGAATATACGAGTACTATCTAAACCTTTCTTGCATGAGTAAGATGGCAAAGTGTCTATTGTAATTTCTAGAAAATATTTTTCTGTCGAAAACAGTTTTAACATTTATTCGTATTTTTACAATGATAGGACGTTTTATGTAACCAATTATTATTACTATTATTAAGTTAGCTAAAGTATAACCTAATGGTAAACTTTATAGGGCATCATTTAATTGGACGGTCAAACTTCTAAGTAAAAATTAATACCTACAGAAAGCTCAAATGAAATAGTT